AGTCGGAGTCACCTATAGTGACCTGTACGACTTATCCATATCTCATCAATTCTGGCTAGCATATAAGTCGGAGTCACCTATAGTGACCTGTACGACTTATCCATATCTCATCAATTCTGGCTAGCATATAAGTCGGAGTCACCTATAGTGACCTGTACGACTTATCCATATCTCATCAATTCTGGCTAGCATATAAGTCGGAGTCACCTATAGTGACCTGTACGACTTATCCATATCTCATCAATTCTGGCTAGCATATAAGTCGGAGTCACGCATAGTGACCTATACGACTTATCCATATCTCATCATAACATGTGCAACACATGGCAACCGGTACGACAGTATCGAAGTTGCCTAACTCATAACTGTAGTCATGCTATAACTCAATCGATTCAATTAACACCATAAACTCACCTGAACTTACCTGGGTGTCCCGAGTTCACCTTTGCACTTGAAAGCATTCCCAATAATTATAAGCAAGTAATATACATAGGGATATATCATGATGCAATCAACTACTCAACCATGTCGTAGCATTTTCAATTATAAACAATATGGTGTGAAGTGTACAATCAATAACGCCATACTCCCAAACTACTTATTTTCAGGGATAATTATCCATAACAATCCAATTAACTCTAATTTAACTAACTAATTCACAAAACTAAAACTTGTCTTTACCAATTTCCTTCGCATCACTCAATTTCCCAAGCAAGGCTTTTGTCTCAATTATTTTATGGCTGCATCTAACGTCTCGTTAGACTGCCTACGTACCCTAAACAGGGATCAAGCCATTCGTAGTTCACATTGTACGTCAAGCATTCACAATAATTATATATGAAAGTAATATGCCTAATCAATTTAAAGGTGTCGATAGAACTCTCAATAATATGCACAATAAAAAGGAAAAGATCCACTCACCTGGAGTCCACGCTATACTACTCTAGCACGCGCATCGAGGCGTCCTGAATGATCGGTCCCTGTGGCCAATTATCAAATCACATCTCAGAACTCTTATCTGAAGAATATGCAATTCACATAAAACACAACCTCGACGACTTTCTAAAATAGGTTGAGACCTATTGACCACAAGTCAACCGTCGATCAAAGATCAACGGTAGGGTTTACAACCCTGTATAACCTGACCCGGAAGATCCGCATATCAGATTTCCAATCTGCAACTTCCAATGATCCACAATATGTTTCTAGAATAACATCTTAAAATTTCATTACGATCCAACGGTCAGATCTTCGCCAATTGCCTAAAACAAGTGGCCGTGAACATTTATTTTACTAACTTACAAATCCAATTCAGGAAGATCCGAAAGTCGGATTCCCGATCCGTAAATTCCTATGATCTTTAAATATTACGTATTATAATGTATCCAATTTTGGTGACGATCCAACGGTCGGATCATCGATTCACATTTTTATCAAGTAGCGTATTATAACGAATTTAGGTTCCAACGATCAACCTACGTCATTCAAATGACCAAACTGAATTCAAAACATTCGACATAGCCTAAAAATAGCATTGGCGGCTCACCGGCCACGCGCCGCCGCACGCGCCGCCGCGGGTGGCGGTCGGCCGCCCCGACTCGCCGGAAAATCCAACAAATTCCAAAAATTATCAAACTTCACAGAAATGAAGATCTCAGTGAGTGGAGCAACTTTCATACCTGCCACGAAGTCCAAAAGTGGACGGAAGATGGTCAATTTTGCCCACGAAACCGGCGGGTGCCTAAAACTTCCCGACGTCGATTCGTCGTCTACGGTGGTCCAACGGGGTCAAGGTTGGTTGGGTTTTGCTCCTGGGATGATGGGCTACAAAGCCCAAGTGGTGGCATCGGCCATCGCTTTGCCGATTTGCCGGAAAATGGAGAAGGGTGGCCGGAGCACCATTGATTTTCGTCAACTTTCGTGGCCTCAAACCTCCACATCCCGTGGTCAATCAAGGTGGTTCTTGGGTGGGTTTTGTAGAGGGGAATGAGAGCTTCAAAATGGTGGTGGTGGCATCGAAAAACTCCACCGGAGTTGGCCGGAATCGGCCTTGGAAAATGGCCACCCGCGGTGGGTGCGGGTGGACGAAAACCCATTTCCTTTTTTTTTTTTTTTTTTTTTTTTTTTTTTTTTTTTTTTTTTCTTCTCCTTCTCCCTCCATTTCTGATTGGTCCTCCCTTTAAATACACACTAACCTTGAATAACCGATTTCGAACGTCCGTAACTATACCGTTATAATCCGGACTCGCAAACGGCTTTCGCCTATACGTTCGTACCAATGAGTACTACGAGGATATGCTAAAAGAATAAGTCTCACATCTTTCAAGTCGATGGTCAACGGAAGTCAAAGTCCTTGCCTCTAGGGCAATTTCGTAAATTCACGCTTTTAAAATAAAATAAAAACGTAAAATTTGGAACGGGTTGTTACACCTAGAGTCTCCGCCAAGTATTCTTGATTAAAAAAAAAAAACTCGATCTACCAAGTAAAATTGTGAGGGTGCACGCTGACATTGTGTGTATGAACATATGTACTTGTGACATTGAAAATTATGTAGAAAGTTTGGTGAAAAAAAGGTAAAATTATGCACTATCCTTAGTATCTTTATTGATTATATAGTGTGTTATTTTTGAAAAAAAAAAGAACTTGCGGTTGAATTACATTGAATTGTTTGTTGAGATGATACAAATAACGAAGCTCAATGTATTGCATACGACATAGTACATACCTAACATGCACAAATGTACAAAAGTATGAACAGGATGGAAAGAAACTAAGAAACCACTTGAGAGTGCCATTGCCTGATTCGATATGCAGCTTAAAATTGCTCAAATACAGAATAGAATAATGGATAAAATTTGCTTATTAGAATTGAGGGTTATTGGAAGCTGGTCTCCTCAGAGAAATGGGAGGAGCACGAGACGAAGCAAGTGGTTTTCTTTGCTTTGCTTCTGGTGCAGCACAGAAGTATAATAATTAAATTCATAAAGCGAGGTAATCAGCAGCAGTGTCCGAAATGCCTTCCAAGCAGGCTCTCGTAATCATCATAATATTTGGTTGTCCTTTTCATATATTCCTACCGTCTCATTTCGCACCCAGAGACAAACTATGTCTGTCACATTGTCCACCCAAAAACTAATTTCCGCCTGTTTAAAGTGCAAGGCTCTGCAAATCGAGAAGTTCTTCAATATGGCTGTCGACCATGCCACCCGTCTAGCAAAAATGCACACAACAGAACTCCTTGCATTCGAGTCTCACACAAACTCATGTTGGTAGCACCAAATGCAAGCTCACTTTGTGTGCGACTTAGACAGGCGGGTGAACATGGCGCGGTAGCTCTACCCAAGAATTTCTCATGCCAATCTTACTCTCTCATCGCCATCTACAACTGCATGCCATGTTGCCCTACTCTGCATATATACAAATATCATGACTCAGCAAATTCAACTCCTTCCCTTTAACTAATAATTCTAAAAGAAAAAGCCAAGCAGGAAAAAATGAACCGTGTTTTGAGAAAATTAAGCCCCACTTCACTAAACGTAACCCTAATCTTACATCATTCGTATTTCTGTTACGGGGGCAGTGACTCAGCGGTGACCTAAAGTATGCAGTAATTACCGGAGCATGGTACAGGAAAGTCTAACATTGCTATCAAAGCCGTTGTCTTGTCCCTACATGCATGGTTTTGCTATAAATAATAAGCCTATCTGATGATAAAAAGATGATGAGGCCACTAATCATGCATCCTAACCAAAAGTTAGTTGATTAATAAACGTGGATTCTTGCGTAGGATTCAACTTATCCCCTCCTAATCTTATTGCATGTTTAGGTGGATCCAACACTTAAAAAGAAGACAACAAAGGAAAGCACTAAAAATATAGGAGAAAATTAGGTTGGGATACTTATTCCATACAGACTTGCTTATATACAAAAGTGACTTATTGAAAGCACACGATTAAGGAAAAAAATTGTGTACACACATATGTCAGTTCGTCTAAAATGAAAACTGAATTCATGCGTATAAAGATTCAGATATTTTTCTTAAACGGGTGTGTGTATCCCATACCTCATTATTTACAAAATTAGAGGGCAACTCAGAACCAACCAAAAAACTTGCAACCCTATGGTGACTAGTGGCCGACCCATTATGCTGGTGGGTAATGCCTACTTCACACACGTATACGATGTATAGTCCATTTTAGACCAATGTAGCGTAGCAATATTACATGTGATGTGAGAGAGATAGAGTGCTTGCTAGGCCAATGTGGCGTAGCAATATTGGAGGCAATTTCTCTACCCTCTCACTCTTCGTGTTTTTCTGTTTTGTGTGATCACGCTAAGCCATGTCAACATTTTATATTGTTTTTTTTATAGAGATAATAAGACAAAAAAAAATAGTAATATAAAATATTGACGTATTTTAATCGTGATCACATAAACAGTAGGGCACGGAAGTGGGAGGCCAGAAAATCTGCCTCCTATTACATGTGATGTGAGAGAGAGATAGAGTGCTTGCTTGGATTTTTTTTTTATCATTTTGTTTAATGTGTTTTGCTGATGTAAGGTAAGGGATTTCAAAGTAGTTCGGATAAATTTTTTATTTTGCCGAAAACAAAATTTGGTACAACAAGTTTCATAATATAATTGATTAGAATTCTTTTTTAAAAGTTTTCAACCAAATGTAGTATTATAATTGATGTACCGAACGGAGTTCTGATTAAAAAATCACTCTCAAAATAGTGACGGAGGGCGGTGGGGCCCACTTGTGGGTGTTTGTCTAGTGGGTTTGGGGCGCACTGCCCCATCCTTCGGCTCATTTTTAACACCAATGTGGATCAAGGACCACACCCACATTTCTCCTCATCTGTTCCTCCCTGCCGCTATAAGAACCCCTCCTCTGGCCTCTGCACTTTCAAACCCAACTCACACAATCTCTCAAAGCTCATCACCTACAGAAGAAACACACACACTCGCTCACTGCAGTCAGAAGACAGAAAGAAAGAAAGAAAACCCTACTTCTCTGAAATATGAAGATTGGCAGCTCTGGCAGCATGGCAGGCAGCAAGAGAAGGCTGTCTTCGTCGTCAAGCAAAGGACTCGGAGGGGTCCTGCGACAGCAAAGAGCCAGGCTTTACATCATCAGGAGGTGTGTCGTCATGCTCCTCTGTTGGCATGATTGAAAACATGATGACATGGGGAAAGGAAGATTTTGGTTTTTCTTTTTAATTTCTTCTTAATTTTCCTGTTTTTCTTCTTCTTCTATCATCGATCTTTTATCTTCTTGGTGGAGTTGTAAATAGCCAGCGAATGTTTTTAGGAGAGTTGAAGACAAAATTTTGTATGGGGTTAATTTGGCCTTATGGGGCTTAGATATGTACATCGGAATAGCCTAAATATATAAACTTTTATATGATATAACAAGCTAGAGTTCTTAATATTTCATTGTTCTTCTCATATAACAATATCGTTTCAGTTTGTTACAATTTGGAAGGGATTTCCAAGTATAAAGATTGAAAAAGGAAAAAGGGTTTAAAGTTTCAATTACCAAAGAATTCCATGTAAGGTTATACTTTGAGCGAATCTGTTGTATGACCAGATGTACATGATCAGCGTAGATCTCTTTAGAGCAACTACAACCTAGATGATGTTCTTATTTTCTTTGTCCTATTTCAGTTCCAAAGAAGTGATGCGGAGTTCTCAAAGTTTTCTTCCCTTTTCAAATGGCTTTGTTATGTTCCCTAATCTTGATTAAAAAGGAACAATTATGACCCAATGAAATTGGGTGAACAGAAACATTGGTGACAATAATATAGGATCTACAAAATCTTAAATTTGAAGTTCAGCTGGTCAAATGTTAAGTGAAGATTAGATTCAAACTGTTCTTTTTTCAGTATCCCAAATTATTTTTGCTTTTTTAGATTTTCATGTCCAAAAAGTGCTTTAGGCATAAGGTAGAAGCATCAAAATTCATGATTAGTACTTTGACCAAGTCGGTTAAGTACACTTGATGACAAAAATTGAACCTTAAAATAATCGCTTAAGCCTTAATCCCTTTGTCATAATTCCTTTTCTATATGGTTGTTTTGGAAGGCCAATGATTAATTAAAGAAACAATTGCAGTTGGCCCATAACTAATCACTATAATATCATAAGCTCTTGTTATGATCTTCTTGTCTTCAACCAAACAAGCACCAGCTGCTCCTCAAAAATCAGCTCCACCTAAGCTTTCTCTTCCAATAAGCCATTATTTGAGTGAGCTTCCAAACATGGCCTTGTGGGAAACCAGCTTTTTTGACGTTTGGGTCAAAACCCAAACTCAAAAGCTCCCTTCCCTCTCTTTGTGGGCCAGTTCAATTATTGGATCCTACTCAAGTTCACGTGTGCCACGTGTACGGTCGTAATGGGCCAACCCCCCAATAGTATCCCCTTTTGTCTCTTCCTTACTTTTGAAGGGAGAAGCAGGGAAGGGGCTAAAAGTAAGGAAAGACATCCTCTTTGAATCCATTCCTCTAAATCTACCTATTCGGATCATTAAAATTTGATCCAACAGTTAAAATTATTATAACTTTTAAGGAATTCCTATTTATAACCGTTAGATCAAATTTCAATGATCCAAATATATGAACTTACTAAAAGGGATACAGAGATGAACGCTTTCCTAAAAGTAAGTCCAGGCAGCTTCTACTTTTGGTAAAAAAAAAAAAAAAAAGCACACGAACTCTCTAGTCTACAGTAATACAATGCACCCCCACGTAATATGTGGACACCTGTCTCCAAAATACAGGCAATGAATAATGAGCAGACACGTGGCATTCTGATTGATTTAATATAATTTTGTGTTTTTCTGTTTCAGAAGAGAGAAGGGTGGGCCAGAATGTCAGTTGTACAGGAGCTGAATGTGCAACCTAATTTCCTGGTGTCGGCATGTCACCTATCTGTCTTACTCTATGAAATTTACCTCCATGTAATGTTTTATGTTCGCAGTATCTCTATACAATATCATGTATTTTAAAGTGTTCATATTATAATAGTAGACGTGTTTTATTAGGTTTCAGCGTTTGTTCTTTTGATCGAATTGACCATGTTATACACTCTCATTAATACGAGCATCATTCTTACACACCCAAAAATTGGACCCGTCAAAATGACGGAGTGAGTCTAAAGCCGTTTTAGGAACACAATGATGGTAAAATCTCTCAATGCGTACAATCTTTCTCCAAAGACAGAGCTTTTAATCCTTTTTTTTCTTTTGAGCTCACCCTGTCACTCAAATGAAATGAGTGAGTGAAGGGAGTAGGACTCTTTCTTTTGTCATTATCTGTTTATAAAAATTAATAAAAAATATTAATATTATTTAATCGTAACTGTTTAAATATTAAAAAAAAAAATATTAAAAAGAGAGAATTCTACTCTGGATAAAAACGCGCCTGACAGATTGGGTCAAAACGGCAGCCTCACAATGCCCACGTGCGCCTCCCTAATCTTCAACCCCACCAACATAACGTCAGATTCTATTTTAATCAAACAGGGGGCCCACACGTTGTCCCCACATGCCACATCCCCTGTCTTGTCTTCCTCAATTGCACATGGACATCAACGTTCAAGTATTTGATGGATAAGATGTAGTTCCATCATCCATGTAATTAAGATGATGATGCGACATTCTCCAAACTTGTTTGCCGATGATTATAAGCTTGTTTCGAAATGCTTTAAAACAACTGTGAAAATGATTGAAAATGTTTTTCAATCATAAAAAAAAATTATTGCTCCGATAATAAATTTAAAAGTGCTTATTAGTCATATACACGTTTTTTTCAAAATGACCAACTACGAACACAACTACTTGCTATAGAAATAGCCCAAAACCATATACAACTCCTTCATGTGAACTAAGACTTGAGTTAGTCATGTTTTTTTTTCTAGGGTTGTCTCTCATTATTTGGGATTCTTGGAAAAAGGATGGGAGTAGGATTCTCCCTTCCTGTTCTCATCCTATTTCTTGCCGTTCTTACACGTTTTGTTTTTTGTCTTTTTGTATTTATTAAAAAATTAATATAAGATGATGACGTGGTTTAATCGTAACTATTCAAATATGAAGGAAGAGAAGGAGGGAGATTAGAAATGAAGAAAATCATCCTCCAAAAAAGGGGCCACGGGCCATGGTGTCTCCTTGGATTAAGGTGGTTGCTTATGTTTTTAATAATTAATACACGATTTAGGATAAATATATTTTTTTTATTTTTTGGAAAAAAAAAGTATTGGGTTATGCTGGCTGTTAACAGAACATGGTTGCTAAATCTTGCATCTAAAAACCCTACACAAATAGGGTTAACGTTAAAGAAAATCATGTTTTAATAATGTTACAAAGACAAAACGTCATGCACAGCATGTAGACAGATATATAAAATTCAGGGGCTCCTTGTCCAGTTCTTTTCTTTCATTGGAGCCCAAAAAAGCCAGGGTGCTGTGGCCCTCTTTGTCTGCTTTTTAGCCCCATCAAGGCATCAAAGAGAAAAAGATGACCAATTGTATTTGCCAAGGGAGGGAAGCATTAGGCAAGGTCTTGCGAATACAACAAAGGGGTGCCGTGCCCTATTCCAACTAGGTCACTTACCCTACAACATGCTAAAAGGGCACCAGTAGAAGCTGCTTTTCCAGGTTAGGTCCCATCTGGATTCCCCACGAGCAAGTATGCTGCTCATCAACAAGCACTTTTACCTCCAAGTGCTTAATTCAACAGCGGGGCTAGGCCCAGTGGTCTCTCAAGCTATTTTCAAAGCCAACTTGCATGACCTGCGCAGCCCTGAGAGTTCATGAATGTTTTCATTGTCCAACCTGTTCTCATTCGACGACAGAGGTGAAACTCATCAGTGTTTTCCTTGGCGTTGATAAAGCATCGAGTTTTCAATCATTTGATGGTCCACACGTCTCTCGCCTTTCCGTTTTCGCTTGTTTTATGCAGTTGAATCCGTTATAATTCGAATGCCAAGCTTTCGAATCCAAAGACACAAAAGCAAACCAGATAAAATAACTGCATTTTAGCTTGATGCTTAAAAGAGAGCAAAAAGAGTAAGTTAGATCGATGTTTGAACACAAACGATCAGAGAATTACAGTTACAAAAAAGCAGTTCTTTAACAAAAGGCATAGTTTAATCAAAACGTAGCTACAAAATATTTACCACCATTTGACCATAACCAACACAAAAATCCCGAACCATGTTCAGTCAGCCACCTTGCCACCCCAAGAAAGGAAACTCTCCTGTGACCCAAATTCCTACAATGCCCGATCCAGAAATGCGTTAGCACAAGCGAAAATGCAAGAAAAAGGAAAATTGTCAACACCAACAAGCAAGAGAAAGTCGCAGAGAAGACGGCTTACCAGCTGGCTGAGCCGGAAATCCGGAGGTGTATCAAGGTCCATAATATTAGCAGGATCAAGGACAATATTTTGGCACGCCTCTAGATCCTTCTTTAAATCCTCAGGTCCTAGTTTAGCGTAATCAGCAAGACGGGGTTTGACATGTGCTTGTTCACCATTTTCATGCCCACCCCTATTTGGAGATTGGCTCTGAAGGAGCTCATCACACAGAGACAACCCTTCCACAAGTTGTTGCGAATCCAAAAGGTTCTGTGACTCATTGTCCCACCATTTTGGATCTTCCTGAGCATGATCAATGTTTTCAGTGTTATTAATTACTTCATCGGCTTGGTTTTCTACCTTGTGTTGATCATAATCGTCAGGAATTTCAGATTCAGGGCGAACATCTTCAGCATGGTTCACCTCGGTATAAGCTTCATCCAAAGCAGAGTCAACATCAGGATGCACTTCATCTTCAGCACCGTCTTCCACACGATACTTCAATTGGATACAGAAGCCATAAAAATAAGCCCATATCAGTATCTATTTGGATCATTCACATTTATGCCACATTATCAGTATCTATTTGGATCATTCACATTTATGCCACATTCTTACACTACATATTAATGAAAGATTACGCAGAGGGAATGTACAAGAAAGTACCCATGAAGACAGGAACAAATGCAAGCAGTATAAGTTTTAAATCTTCAATTTGAATACGTTCGTCACACAATAGATAAAAATGCCTTCTCGTGCTGCTAGTAGAAATGTGGAAGTAAACTAAAAACAAAATTAAGAAAACAAATTATACCTGAAGAAAGGGATCCCTGGCAGGAGCAGGAGTATCCAGTCCCAAATCAAAATCACCAAGCTTTTGTTCGGCGCGTGGAGGTTCAGGAGTAACCAACTTGGGAGTGACTGGATCTACCTTTGTGATCACCGCATCAATACTTTCAGGAACATCTTGATCAGTTTTATCAGCTTGCTTGGCTTCCTGCTGCTGGTAATATATTTTTGATATAACATACTCTCCATCCTTCTCATCCTCCTCAATGCCTAGGTGATATTGATGCATAACCCAATTGGTTTTCACAGGTTTTCCTCCTCCGACCGTGCTCATGTAAAGAACCATAATCTTCTTGCACCCTTTTTGTACTCCATCCAATATCACTGGCTTAGTCCTTCCAGTCTTGTGCCAGCGGACATCACCATCACCATCATGTATCTTTCGCCGCTTTCGTGTTCCAGTATTGTAAGCCTTAATTGCTCTATGAAAGAAGTGGGAGGGACTTCCATCTAGCTTAACATCTAACATTTAATTTTTCGAATCAATTAATAAAAGATTTAAGGGTCAAAGATTTAAAACAAAACAAATGTTTCTCACTTACTAGGTAGTTTCCTAGGATGGGAACAACAGATTCCTTCGTCGTCGTCAACAGTTAGAATAAACTCATCAATAAAAGGATGGGGTTTTTGATCACCTACACCAGATTTTGCAAGTAAGTGCCATATAATCTCTTGATCAGTTGGATCAAATTTTACACCCTTGGGTAAACCCGGCCACTCTTGAGCAACCTGGAAAGAGATGGCAAACACCCTAATTTTCAAAGTTCTACAATTTTCGTTAAAAATAAATGAACCAACAAACAGAAACAAACTTCATCTAAAAATACTCCAACGGAGCTTCTGTACCTAATGGTTTTTCATCGATGAACGTTAAACTTCAAACATATGGATCAAAAAAACAAAAACAAAAATCTTACATCACTATTGTCAATCGTATAATGGCATTTTGGACAAGATTTAGTTGGGTTGCTTTGCCATTTAATTCCAACAGAATCATAGCTTCCAGATGCACTCCTGATTTTTGTTGCGATTCTATTTTTGTCAAACAACCATGATGGCCTGCATGTATTACACAAATGATTACACTTGAAGCAATCAGCTGCTCCCACATATGATCAGCAAAGTATTTAAACTCTTGACCGAGCTTAATTAGAATAGATATTTTAAGTTTGAAGGACACTGAAAAGAGACATAAAGATATAACCAGCAGTACAGAGATTATTGAAAACAAACAGCATAGTTAAAAAGATTAACCCATGAGAATACATAACCAAGTAAAAAAAACAGCCTAAAACTATCAAACAACGACCGGTAACAGATTTAAACTATGAACTGCTTCTATCATGGTATACATGTAAACAAATGGAATGACGCATAATTTCATTAGAGAAATGAAAAATAATGTTAGAAAATATATGATAACTTGCAAAGAAAAAACCTTTTAGTGCCAAAACACACTCGTAATCACTCTTCACAGATCACGACATTCATGCTCCCGAATTCGAGGTAGAGGGATGCAAACATATAAAGCATTTTAAAACACACTCGCACAGAGGAGAGTCATTGTAAATGGTAACAAAAACCAGACTAATTAATAACTCGATGAGAACAAAGGGCAGTGGATTACATAATTATACGAATCCATCTCAACCTTTCCACCTAAATAGAACAAGGGGTACAAGCAGAAGTGGGCGTAGCCACATTAGCTACACCGGATGTGCTCCCCTATGCACCCGACTTCGAAATCCCCCTCCCGCACTTTAGATTAGTTTAAGGCATAATATCGCTTGTACAACGAAAATGCGTGCAATTTAAAAGGAAACGTAGAAAGTAAAGAACAAGCATATGAATCTAGAGTGAAGATTCAGCATAGCGCTCAACTAAATCAAAGTAGTTTCTACTAGTTAAAGCTTAAGCACTACCATTTTTCTCAAAGTTCAAATTTTTCATGGTACATTCGATCAAATGAACAGATGGGTTAGTTCAAAATCGTGAATTTCCATATAAATTTAAAAAATTTCGATAAAACCGCTGAAAATTCCATGACTTAATTATAGGAGCATCAATATACACTCAAAAAATTGGAAGAAAAAAAAAAAAAAGCTACAATAAAAGTCATCGGAAAATACCCAGCCATGGATGAGCGGCGACGATAAAGAAGCCCAACTCAGAGGGAAAGCTTCCGTCTTCGGTGACCGTAGCAGACTTGCTTTCTCTCTCTATCTCTCTCTCACTCCGCTTCGTCTCTGCTTCCACGCTGAGACCGATTGACGCTAAAAGGACTTAGATTAGTTTAAGGCATAATATCGCTTGTACAACGAAAATGCGTGCAATTTAAAAGGAAACGTAGAAAGTAAAGAACAAGCATATGAATCTAGAGTGAAGATTCAGCATAGCGCTCAACTAAATCAAAGTAGTTTCTACTAGTTAAAGCTTAAGCACTACCATTTTTCTCAAAGTTCAAATTTTTCATGGTACATTCGATCAAATGAACAGATGGGTTAGTTCAAAATCGTGAATTTCCATATAAATTTAAAAAATTTCGATAAAACCTCTGAAAATTCCATGACTTAATTATAGGAGCATCAATATACACTCAAAAAATTGGAAGAAAAAAAAAAAAAAAAGCTACAATAAAAGTCATCGGAAAATACCCAGCCATGGATGAGCGGCGACGATAAAGAAGCCCAACCCAGAGGCAAAGCTTTCGTCTTCGGTGACCGTAGCAGACTTGCTTTCTCTCTCTATCTCTCTCTCACTCCGCTTCGTCTCTGCTTCCACGCTGAGACCGATTGACGCTAAAAGGACATAGATTTTTTTAAAAAGAAAACTAAAGAAAGGGGATTGAAAATTTTGAAATTTAATGAAAATGGTAAAATAAAAAATAAAGTGAATAATATCATAATTGATTTTTTTAGTGTAAAAATATGATTTTTCATTAAAGTAAACATTAGTAAGAGCTTTTCGTTAAAGTTTTATTTTTTATATTTAACTCCACTTTAATTTCCATTTACTATTTTAATTTATACAAACTAAGAAAAAGCAAGGACTAATTACAATTTATTTTCTGAATCCATAACTCGGTTTTTCTTTCCCTTCTTACCAATCTCTTGTCTCATGCTCAACTCACCAATGTTGATCAAGACTTGAGAGTGAGTCAGATCATTGTTAATGGCCAATGGGATAGGCATCAATTATCCTTTGTGGTTGATGTTGATGTCGATGTTGTTAACAAATTTTGCAGCAGCCCCTTACTTTTGGTCCCTCGAAGTGACTCATGTTGTTGGGATCCAAATACTAAGAGCAACTCCAGCGTTGGAGCCCTCCCCCCTGGCAATTCACTATTCAATCCACCTAATGAACAGTAATTACCCTTAATGAACAGTAAGTAGCCCTGACAATAGATTTTGCATCTCCACCGTTACACTTCTATAGCCCTGGCAATAGGCAATAAAATATTAGTATTTTTTTTATTTATAAAATTAATACAAAATAATTTTAAATGTAATATCGGATAAGATTTTTAATCGTTGTCGGTGCGCCACGTGTCATTATCCTAAGTATTATTAAATAATACAAAATAAATAATTATAATATGGATTTCTGATAAGATTATTAACCAATCACGTCGCGCCACGTGTCATAATCGGTTCACAATCTTTGAGGATAGATTTCCATCAGATTTTAAACGAATGACGGCATGCCACGTGTCATAATCTGTTAACAATCTTGGATGATAGATTTCCATCAGATTTTTAACGAATGACGGCATGCCACGTGGCATTATGCAGAACCTAATCCTTTCTGAATCCTCTATATAATCCACCATCCATCTTCACAAATCTCACACCAAAATTCTCAAGATCTCTATCATTGATCTCAAAATTTCTGCTTCCTTATTCACAAAAATCAGTTTCAATATTCATAGTTTCTGTTTCTTTCTTTCAATGTCTTCTTCTTCTTCCTCAAGGATGATGTTGAAGGAAAAATTTTGTCCTAGCTAAGAACATGTAAGAACATTTGAATACATATGCAAACTAATAACTCTTTAAAGTAGGCATTCATTCAAAAACAATTCATAAAACCCATGACTTTCAAAGCCTAGTATATGGTGAACCATAAGACTCTTTAACAAAATTAAAGAGAATAAGAATTTAGAGATTCTTTACCCTTGAAGCTCATCCTTGATTGCACAAGGGATTCACCCAAGTGGAGGGCCTTCAAGTCACCTCCTTGCTCCTTGAATCTTCCTTGTGATTTCCTCCCTTTTAGTGCTCCTTTTCTTCTTTGAGGATTTGAGGATTTGTTCTCCAAAACACCAAAAGTTTAGTGTCTCTAAGTCTCCACACCAAAGATGTTGTGTGAAGATGAAATGGATGACTTAGGTAAGAAAGATTGCTAGATGTTCCTCACCTAAGGTAATGAGAGAATAGGTTTCACCCAAATTCAATTAGAAACCCCTTAGGGTGAAATGGCTATAAAGATGTATTTATACCACCTCACAATGGAGTGGCAAACTTGCAATTAAGCCAAGTTCACTACCCTTAAGGTTATGGCCGGCCATTTAGTGTTTTTGGGCTTAATTGCCCATTTTGTTTTAGTTGTCATACAATCTTAAACATAATGGGCCTTGTGGGCCAAAACGTTTTTGTGCCCCGAAGCCCAAAACTAACTTAAACGCCCAATACGAACGTTTCGTATAATTAATTAACTATTTAATTAATCTTGACCATTCTTCAATTAAACCATTTAATTGCTTATCCATTTCATATAATTTCTTCACTTATATCTTTACTCGGTGTACGATCCATTAGGTTCCAATTAGCGAGGTAGTGGGCGATGTTACTCTTAACGATCGATTGTGAATTGAAACCACATTTCAATTCTCCCTTAAATTAGTGTTTGCTAATCTTTAGGGCTTCCACAAACCATGGGTGACGCCTAGCAGCATGTCATGGTTACCCAAGCTAAGTAGAAGTGGTTGGAGAACCTATCCAGTTACAACTACAATGCAATACGGTCCTTCTCTAATACAATACTCTTAATCACATTGTTTGAGTGATAGTTTGTTTCATGTCTACTATCCAATGTGATACTTCTTTATATGATTCAATCGAATAAGATTTGGAACATCTTCCTTAGTCATATTCATATGCTTTGGCCAAAGACTCTCGAATCATATCTTAGAGTATTCTCCTTCCATCATGGAAGGTTAGAGATCCCTTGTTGTACATTCATATGCCTACATGACTAGATAGCTTGACCCCAACAATGCCGTGGACACTCCAATGGAATGCCGTTGACATAATCAAAGATCAAGGACCTAACCATTAGACATCAATGATGCCTCAGGTCAAAGGACTACTTTGCATATTGCAACTATTGAGTTCTTACATGACATGTATGTTCGAACTCTTGTTTGATCGTAGTTCAGTGTACTCGATTACTCTTTCGAGCACCTATGTGTTTGCCTTAGTGTCCAACACCAAATGACTTGAGACTAGTTCATACTCACGCTTGAGTCGACATAACACATACTAACCTTAGCGGATTGTCAATGCCCAATTGGCAATCCTATGGCTAGGAACGTTTTAGGAATGAACATAAGAGAAAGGTCTCGTTAATTTAACTAACTTAAATCACTTGTCTCTTAGATCAAATACATTCCTTGGATTCCCTTATTGCTTAAACACAAGATACTATAAATAGTGATTAACAATAAGCTTTGCCCTTCTATTAAACATATAAAAGTTTAACACAATAAGTATTCCAAAAAGCTATTACATCAAATGAGTGGCTTTGTGGGCATACTTCCAACAATCTCCCACTTGCACTCAAAGCCATCCTCCCATGTATCTAATACCCATCTTTTCCATATGGCGGTCAAGTTGGATTTGAGACATTGGCTTCGTTAGTGGATCTGCTACGTTATCGGCTGAAGCAACTTTGAGGATGTTGACTTTCCCCTCGGCAGCATATCTTCTAATGATATTGAAGCGCCTATCAAAATGCTTGTTCTTTTGATGTGCCCTGGGTTCCTTGGCTTGAGCTATCGCCCTATCATTATCACAGTACAAAGTTACTGGTGACGTAATGGTTGGAACCACTCCAAGTTCAGTGATGAACTTCTGCATCCAGAACGCTTCTTTGCCGGCTTCAGCTGCAGCGACATATTCAGCCTCTGTCGTGGAATCAGCAATTACACTTTGTTTCTTGCTTTTCCAGCTGACAGCCCCACCATTCAGAGTGAATACATATCCGGAGTTGGAACTTCTATCATCGACGTCAGATTGGAAATCTGCGTCTGTATAACCTTCCACTCGCAACTCTGATGCTCCTCCATAAACGAGGAACATGTCCTTAGTTCTTCTTAAGTACTTAAGGACCGTCTTGACAGCTGCCCAGTGTTCTGATCCTGGGTTAGATTGATATCGACTAGTAATGCTCACAGCATATGCGATATCAGGCCTTGTGCATATGTCATCTACATATAACACTAGGAATACAACTGCTTCCCCAACGACTTTTTGATAAACACAATTGTCGTCTTCGTTTTGAGTAAAACCAAACGATTTGATTTCAGTATCAAAACGAATGTTCCAGCTCCTGGAGGCTTGCTTAAGTCCATAAATGGACCTCTGAAGCTTGCATACCTTAGTCTTTTCAGACTTGGACACGAAACCTTCGGGTTGAGCCATATAAAGCTCTTCCTCTAGGTAGCCGTTCAGAAAGGCTGTCTTCACGTCCATTTGCCAGATTTCATAATCATGGTACGCAGCTATAGCAAGCAAAATCCGAATGGACTTAATCATGGCTACAGGAGAGAAAGTTTCTTCATAGTCAATCCCTTCTCGTTGCCTGTAACCCTTGGCTACTAGTCTAGCCTTATAAGTCTCCACGTTCCCATCAACGCCTATCTTCCTCTTGAATACCCATTTATTTCCAACAGGTACTATACCTTCTGGAGGGTCTACAAGAGTCCAGACTTGATTTTGATACATGGAATCCATCTCGGATTTCATGGCCTCATGCCATCTCTTTGAATCAATGTCGGACATTGCTTCATTGTAGTCTCTAGGGTCCTCCTTTGTGTCATTGTCACCTAGAAGGTGCAATTCCGCAAAGTCATTGTCTAAGCCATACCTCCTAGGTTGCTTACTAACCCGTTCAGATCTACGTGGAGCTAGGGGTTCAGGAACAGGGTTGTCAACTTGTCGAGTGCTTGTTTGTGGTTCATCATTAATCTCATTAATTTCCTTCAATTCTATCTTGCTAGTTCCTTTAAGAACTAATTCATCCTCCATGAATATAGCAGTTCTGGCGACAAAGACTTTCTGGTCGTCAGGGTGATAGAATTCGTATCCATAGGTTTGTTTAGGATACCCCACAAAATAGCATTTAACGGATCTCGCTTCAAGCTTTCCAGCATCTTGTTTCTTAACGTATGCTGGACAACCCCAAATCTTAAGATGTTTAAGACTTGGCTTCTTTCCATACCATATCTCATATGGTGTTTGTGGAACAGATTTAGAAGGCACTGCATTTAGCAAATAAGCTGCTGTGTGTAGTGCATATCCCCAGAATGATATTGGTAGATCAGCGGAACTCATCATAGAACGAACCATGTTCATCAAGGTTCGGTTTCTCCTCTCAGAAACTCCGTTATGTTGAGGAGTTCCTGGTGGAGTCCACTGTGATACAATTCCACACTCTTTGAGATAATCTAGGAATTCGTCACTCAGATATTCACCCCCTCGATCCGATCTTAGGGTCTTTATCTGTTTCCCAGTTTGCTTCTCAACTTCA